TGAAATAATTAGCCAATAAAAATCTTAAATCCGCTGCTCTGTAAACAAAAAATCACATCAGAATCAGTTCCTCAAATACAATGCTCACAGCCACTGAATTTTTCTGACTGCTGAGAACTCCACATGGGCAGCAAGACAAGCATTTGGCCCACGGGGCAATGGGACACGTAGATATTTCCGGAAAACTGGGTCAAACAGTTTAAGAAAGATGAAGGGGTTTTTCCTTGTGTATTTGTTCCTCTGGTCCTCATTACGTAAGTGAGGTGGACTGATGTGCTGGCAAAAAGCTGAGAGCGTTGCCAGTCCTCACCCGATGCAGGGTCCACCCAACCAGCGAAGGGCTGCAGAACACAGAAAGAGGAAAGTGAGAAGCTCCAGGGTGCAGAGATTCCCAGCTCTTAGACACAGCCATCTCCACACCCTGAAGGGTTTGCAGATTGCATCCCATTCGGGGACACGGAGACTGACCGCAAAAATGCAGTTTTGTGTCCTCAGCAGTCACAGGAACTGGAAGACCATGTGCTAATCAGTGTGTGGACTCCACCCAAACTCACTTAAGACTTCCCTGCTGGAAAGAGTTCGGGCAGAGATGGTGGGATTCCCAGCAGCACAGCACAGCCCAGGAATGCTTTGGAAATCAAATAATAGCCTAAGCGCACCTTTTCTGCTTTGTCATCCTTGAATTGCAGGAAAAAGCGACAGTCTGTCGGTGGAAAATTCGCTAAGCTTTCTTGTGTTTCTTCCGGATTATGGAATTTCAGAAGAAAACATGAGAAATGTCATTCTAACAGGTAGAGTCACCCCACTGAGTCCGATGATACAAAAACTCACTGGGAATGAAATCTTCCTTAGTGTTAGCCTCAGTGTGGAATTATTATTCCAAAATTCATGTTTTCGTCAAAGTGCTGTTGCAAGTGCTTTTTGATTCATTGAATAATTCCAATCACCTTGCTTGTCTCTTCTTCTCCTTCTCAGACACCTGCCCAGAATAAAGGCCTCGCTTGGGTGAGTAGAAACACAGTACCCAGAGCGTCTGACAGTTTCAACTTCTTGGACTCTTTTCCTAAGAAATCTGACATATTTCTTAGACAAATAGCCTTTTTCTAAGTTCCAACTTTGGTTAGTGCATGTGCATTAATGTTGCAAACATAGTGCAGATCCACCAAAACTAACAGGGATTTTTTTACAGTGGTGGACCATAGGAATACTGTCTGTAAAATGTGATTATTTCTCCATCCTGATATACTGTTAGTCCTGATGAACTCCAGTGTGAGTAATGAACCTTGTAGTACCAATATCTCTGTTAGCTGTAGATAGGACTCTGGAAGATTTTTGACATGAGCGTATGCACACTAGCCAGTGAGCTGATGTAATTCTATACCTTGGAAACCCTGACACAGGTCAAGCAAAAATTAATGCTTTCCTCAGAAAGCGATGATCGGAGATTCCATGCATGCCCATATATTTACGGATTCCCAGGAGATGATTTTTATATTCCTCCTGTACTTACTAGCAATTAAAACCACATGTTTTAAAAAAAGCTATGCTATCTTGCTTTTTGTCAAGAATTCTAAAAAAGTTTTGGCCCAAGTCTATAATCTGTTCTTCATTAATAGGTTTTACTTTTTATATTTTCTCTCAGAAAGACTATGCTACTAATATCAGTTCGGCAACACTTTAATAATTTTTATCTTTTCTTTTCTTTTCTTTTCTTTCTCACAGATGATAATGGGGCAGCAGTATCAGCCATCTCCTCAAAGACAACTGAATCATTAATGCAAGGATCCAATTTCCTTTCCTTTCAATTGTAGTTGCTTCTTTCCAGTGAAGTCTTGAACCTCCTTCATGACTTTCTTTGGAATCCTTATCATCACTTTTCTTGGTCTTTCTGTTTCTTTATTAATTAAATAAATTGATATCATATGCTAACATAAACTTTTTTGATGAGAATTTTTTGATTTTATAAAGCACAACTATTTTAAAAGCTGGGTCTACAGAAGATGTGGTTTTTGCATAAAATGGAATAGTACTCAGCCATAAAGAATGGGAAATTACAGTCATTTGTTGGAAATTAATATATATTGAGTTCATACACTTAAGTGAAATAAATAAGGCACACATGTGAAAATAGCGAATAGTTTCTCTGGTATGAAAAACTAAAAGTGTTAATAAGATCCAAATGGTATAATTGACAATGCAAAATATGAAGAATTGGGTAATGGTGTAGGGTAAGTGGGAAGGCTAAAGGAAAGGAAATGAGGGAAAAAAATATGACAAAATGAAAAAATGGAAACAAAATTTTGTCAATAGGGAACGGAGGAGGTGCTGAAGGGGTATAGGGAAAAAATGAGAAGCAAGACCAGTCATGTACACGTACAAGATCCCAATGATGAATGCAAACTTTATTATATACTAAAAAGTACCAAAAAACTCAATTAAAAAATAGATAAAAAAAACCTGTGTCTATAATACACCAAGATATGATTCTTAGCATAACGGCAGAGTTCTCCAGTCTGGTGTGGTTAGAGAGAAAAACAGTAACTAAGTCATCATGGATTCAGAGTTTTATGATATAGTGGAAATGTCCTATGGTTCATCCCATGAGTGGTGAGATTGCCTCATGGAATACTCTGTTAAAAGTCACAGAAGGGATATTTAGGGTACAAGGAAAAGGTTCCACCAGTAAAAAATGACAGGGAGAGACTGGGTTCCTAGAATTATTTGAAAAAAAAATTTTTACAGCAGAAAACATTGAAATAGTTGTAATCTCTCACCTGAAAATATACCTATCAATCATGAAAAGGATCATAAAATAAAATCCTTTCAGAGGAGCAGAGTCCCAACATGTAAAGTTACATACGTTAAAATATCGATTTCTTCTACAATAATAAAATAATAAATATGAGAAGTAAAAAAGTCTAAGAAATCAAATGTGCAGCTAGTTCAATGAAAGAAGATTATGAAAATGTGAAAAGGAAAGAAACACATTAAACTAGAAAACAAAGGAGTCACTGGCAAAAGGAAACTTAGTTGGCATGCCTGTGCAGCTCTTTTCTAGGAAGGCCACAGCTTAGGCACTGCTGCCCACACCTCCTGCCTTAGGTGGGGCCCTGGCTGATATATTACACTACATAAATCAAGCCAAGGACAAAAACCATGTGATCATCTCAATACGTGCAGAAAAAGCATTGGACAAATTCCAACATGCATTCATGACAAAAACACTACAAAAATTGGAATAGACTGTCTCTATATCAATCAGATAAAAGCCATCTAGGAAAGACCAACAGCCAAGATCCTATTAAATGGTCAAAAGCTGAAATCCTCCGCACTAAAATCAAGAATAAGACAAAGATGACGACTATTACGAGTCCTGTTCAGTAGAGTTGAGGAAGCTCGAGTCACGGCAATGAGACAGAAGAGAGACATCAAAGGAACAAAGATAGGAAATGAAGAAGTCAAGGGGTCATTAGCTGGGGATGACGTGATACTCTAATTGGAAGACCCCAAGAACTCCACCACAAGTCTTACACACATAATAACCAGGTTCAGTAATATGGCTGGATACAAAGTCAACACACTAAATCAGTAGCTTTCCTGTATACAAAAACAGTCTCACTGAGAGCATAATGTGGCAAACATTCCCTTTCCCAAAAAGTTGAAATACCTAGGAATCCAACTAATGAAAGAAATCAAAGACGCTTACTCTGAATTCTGTAACACCCTGTAAAAAAGAGACCCAGAGCACATCAGAAAATGTCCTTACTCCACAACTTGCTCCTGGGTAGGAAAACCAAGATAATGAAAATGGCCATACTTCCAAAACTGCTATACAGATTCAATGCAATCACAAACCCAATTCCAGCAGCATACAGCACTGACCTTGAGAAAACAATCCAAAAATTCATTTGGAGCTAGGAGAGACCTAGGATAGCAATAGCAATTCTAGGCAATAAAAGCAAGGTAAGGGGTATCACAGACTCCAACTTGAAACTACACTAAAAGGCAACTGTTCTAAAAAGAGCTCTGTATTGGCAAAGAAACAGACTGAAGGCCAGGCGAACAGATTAGAAGATGCAGAAACAACTCCAGACACACTCAACTGACTCATCTTCTGCAGAGGAGCCAACAACGCTCACTGGAGGAAAGGCAGCTTCTTTAATAAATGGTGCTGGAAAACTGGGTTTCAAGTTGCCGAAGACTAAGCCTAGAAATGTATCTCTCACCACGCAGCAATGTAAAATCAAAGTGGATCACAGATCTAAATATTAAAAGTGAAACGCGTGACAAAGGCTGGAAGTTTGAGTGATTCTGGATAAAGTAAGTTGGGGTCTAGAAAAGAACATTGTATGTAAATACCTGAAGGGAGAGATTCATAATTGATTTAAGAAAACATGTGGTAGATTTTCAATTTGTATTTCCTTTGATGATCATTTTCACTAGTACTCCATTTATTTTCATACATACTGGGGCTCAAACTCAGCACTTTACCACTGAGCTACATCCCGAGAACCTTTCAGTATTTATTTTTTGTGTGAGTCTCAGTACATCACGAAGTGGATTCAATCTGTGACCCTCCTGCTTCAGTCTCCCCAGAGAGCTGTGATCTCAAGGATGAAACATAAGGCCCACCATAGGTCCTGGCATTTCAAGGTATAGATGCCATGTTCTCACTTGGCCAAACAGGAGAGCACCATGTGTCATTTTCCAAAGTACGTTTTAGTGTGGTGTCTGGAATCTTAAGGAGTAATATTGGTATTGCAATATTTGTTTTGTGACTTACCTACTCTACTATTCCTTGGGATTTAGGAGAAATTGCTGGAAATGTACTTGAATGTTTCCTGTGTGCTGTGTTCTCTCACCGGGGCTGAAAAGGTCACTTATACAGGCCAAATTAAACTTCTACCAAAGCTTATCTCATTAAAACGATCATAGAAAATTACATAAAGTCCATCGCTTCCGATCAGGAAATGTTAGGACTGAAGCTATCCAGATGAACAATGAATTCCTTATGCCTCACCCCCCTGGAGCAGTGGTATAAAAGAAGCCACAGCTCTGATTCCCTTCAGCGTCTGTCCTGCTCTGAGCTTCTGCTGAGGAAGAAAGGCAACTCCAACAGGATGCAGATTCTGCTGCTCGCTCTTGCTGTCGGTCTGGCTTCTGCCCAGAACAATTCTAGAGTGGGGTATGCGAGTGTGTGTGTGTGTGTGTGTGTGTGTGTGTGTGTGTTTCTATGTGTCTGTCCTTATTTTCCATAGTAACTCCATTTTATAACCATGTTCTTCACGTCACCCTATAGACCTGAACCAATCTTGTTTTCTGAGATGTCTCTGTTGTCTTTCTATCATAACTGTCTGTAATTGCAAAACCTAAGGCACATAAATGAAAGTTTTAAGTCTGCCTAATATCCAAGTACAGACTCTTTGCTATTTCAATCTCAATAAATGCCTCGTGTGCTCTGTGAATTTGAAGAATTCTGTGGCTTTTCCGTGATTTTCCTCTTAGGGACCATGACCAAGCATTTATCCGGTAGGGTCAGATTTGTATTTTTGTGTTGAGCTGAAGCGTGGCCTGATGTAGAGATGTTCATGCGACTAGAACAAAGCCATCTACTAACCTGCCCAGCGTGAACTTGCCTTTGCAGATCGATGGTGACTGGCGCAGCCATTCCATAGCTGCTGATAAAGTGGAGAAGATCGAAGACGGTGGGGAACTGAGAGTCTATTTCCGCCAACTGCAGTGTCAAGATGGATGCAAAAATATCTCCATCAAGTTTTATGTCAAGTAAATAAAATGTCCCCTCATCTAAGGGAAGGATCCACCCAACTCCTTCAGTGAGCTCTCATATGTGTGCAATGGGAAAATGAACAATAATATCGTCAATGGTGAGCTACAGTATGGAGATATCAATTGAACATCATGTTTCCAAGATCTTTAAATAATAGCAGGGGCCAGGGATTTAGCTCAGCGTTCAGTGGCCTGCCTCACAAGCACAAGGACCCGAGTTCGATCCCTGGTACCACAAATAATAATAATAATAATAATAATAATAATAATAATAATAATAATAGCACATATGGATCATTATGGAGGTAGAAACATGGAGATAGGATCTTGACTAATGCGTTGCAGGATGGATTTATGGAATGAATTTGTCTAGAGGTTTTGCCACCATGGTCTTGTACATCTATTAGAGACATCTTATTGATTAACAGTCACATTAAGTAGCAGAAGTTGAACACTATCCTGGAGTATAAGGACTTCAGCATCAATACCCTCAGGAGCATGTATAGAATGGGTGAGGAGTCTCTTTGAGAACAGTGAGATCTGTTTATGTGACATGCAGCAAAACTCTTCCTTGTGATGTGGAGTTGGCTATGCACTCCCAAATATGAGTGACAAACACCCCTACGTGTGGCAGTTGGAGGTGAGATCTGAGGGAATGAAGCTGGTACAGGCCAATGTTGTTGGTGAAAATCTTGCACACCACAGGGAGTCTGGTGGCACAGCACTGAGTATCATCCATCTGGATGCACCGTGTGAGAAATGCTGACATAGCCTATTAGTTTCAACACCTGGAATGTCTTGTTATTCCCATAGTTCCTCAGAAGGAGATCAAAACGGATGAGAAATAAGCACTGTGGTGTTGGTTTGTCTTTCAGGAAGGACGGGATGTTCCAGGAGTTCACTGTCGTGGGAGTAAAAGATGAAGCAAGAGGTGTTTACGTCGCCGAATGTGAGTACTGGATGTTGTAGGCTGACTACATGGCTCGAGTCATAAAGCGAGGGCAGAGTCATGGCTGTGCCTCACTCTCACCATCTCGGCACTGGGACTCTAGAACAATTCCTGTTCCCAATGCCTTAGGCAACCTGGAAAAATCTAGCGAAACTTGTGACAGTGCAGGGCATCATACCCAGCTGGGATGTGTTCCATAGCACGGAAATGCAAGCATGGAACGTGAGCATCAACGGTCAATGAACCAAGCTCACCCGCAGTGTGGCGATGGGATGGACAGAGGTGATGGGTTCAACTTTAAACAGTTCCTGACCTGAACAGATGCACCGCCTCGAATGTCCCTCAAAGCTCTGCCCCTTCTTCCAGCACACCTGCCCATCCTTCTTGCCAGCTCCCTTCAACAGATTTTGATCCCAGTGATGCAGGGCCGTGGAGAAAGCCTCCAGAACTGCTCCACGCAGTCACAAGGATGATGGGATGAGTGTGTTGGAAGCTAGGGGCGTGCTGAGAGGTGGGCTCGGAACAATGAGTCTCGTACTGCAAAGGTTTCTACACACCTGGAAAATTTAATAATTTTTATCACCTCCTGTATTTTCAATGGATTTTGAGGGAGGAGATATGGATAAAACTAATTTAACTGACAAAACTTCTTTCAAAACCACTCATCCACTTAGCAAATATGTCCACACTTCTGTTTCACGGAATGAACATAGTCAGTGATTTCTTGATGTATTAATAGTTGTTTTTTAGCTGGGTGTGGTGTTGCAGGCCTGTAATCCCAGCACTTGGGAGGCTGAGGCAGGAGGATCGCTGTGAGTTCAAGCCAAACCTTGTCTACATAGTGAGTTTCAGGTCAACCTCAACTACATAGTGAGACGCGGTCTCAAAAAAACAAACAAATAAAAAAATTGTTTTGTATGTTTTGTAGATAAACCACAATTCACATACAATAAAATTACATCAAACCCTAAACTTTGAGTTAAAATAACAATGAAATACTTAAATTGGGTTGCCATTATCTTGAATTTCACTTAAAATAGTCAGAGCAATAAACACAACTTCTACGTCTATGATTGAGAATAATTTTCAAAAGCTAGTCCTATACTATTATGTAGACCAACACCAAATATTTCATTTCATAGAAAGAAATGAACACCGTAGTTTTCAAATTATACCCTAAAATTATTTTAATTTATATAAATATAATCACTGGGTAGCAGCTTCAAGCTACAACTGCATAACATATGTGTCTAGCATTTTTCAGTAATGTAACTAGCACCTCTTTATTGGTACTGCAACAAATTGATAAGTTTTTAGTGCATGTTAACAAGGTACTTTTCAATTCTCTCATGGAATTACAGTAAAATATTGGTGAGGCTTGAAAATTGATTGATTAAATTTCTGAAAATTCAGTGATTGATTTTGACTCACTGGCTCATGTAGGGAGATTTTCTTTCTCTCCTATTTACCTCTAGATTTTGCCCTAGAAATTTCTACCTCTTAAAACACAGAGCACTGTGCCAGTATTTACACATTTTGAGAGGTGCACATGTTCACCAGATTAAGGAGGAAGAATGTAGAATGTGTTTTCCCCTTAGTGGTCCTCACAGACGACTGTCACATGTTGGAGGAAGGTTGATGAAATGGACTTTTTCTGAAAGGAGGAATTCAAACCAGCACATTTCAAATAAATCCTGCCCGATCCAGGGGGTAAATTTTAACTATACTGAGTTTCAATTTTTTTTCCTTTATAGACTCAGGTAAAAACTACTTCTCCGTTGTGTATAACACAGAAAAGGTCATAATATTTCACAACATAAACGTGGATGAAGCAGGCATAACAACGAATGTGATTTTAGCCACTGGTAAGTTGGAGAGCAACTTCTCCATTGTGTGGATGGGATAGACATCAACTTGACCTATGCTCTGAGTAGCAGAAGGAACTCTGTTCATGTGTCATCTCCTTAAGCCCCAGTGTGGAAATGTGTTCACACACAGATGGAAATTTTTACCTTGAGGGCATCAAGGGTACTGAAAAGTGTCTTTGAAATTAAAGATGTGCATTCTCTCTGGGGTCCTAACAGAGTGCTTTGCTGAAAATGGTAAGGGCAAAAGACCCAAAAAGTACTGCAAGGTTTGTCAAAAAGAAACGCCAGCCATAATCGGTGTGTGCCACCTACTTGAGCAAAATTTAAAGTGTGATTTTCCATTTGTGATTTTCCCATAGTCATGACTGTGTTTTCCCACAATCGCCTCCTTTGAAACATTTAGCCAATAAAAATTCTTGAACCTGATGCTCTGTAAAGAAACAGCATGTTAGATTCTGCTCCTCAAATACAATGCTCACAACCTCTGAATTTTTCTGACTGCTGAGAACTCCACATGGGCAGCAAGTGAAGTGTTTGACCCTCAGAGGAATGGGACACGTAGATATTTCAGGAAAACTGGAAAACTGGGAAAACTGGGTCAAACCTAGTTTAAGAAAGATGAAGGGGTTTTGCCTTGTGTGTTTGTTCCTCTGGTCCTCATTACTTATGTGAGGTGGAAGGATGTGCTGGCGAGAAGCTGAGATCATTGCCAGTCCTCACCTGATGCAGCGTCCACCCAACCGGGGAAGGGCTGCAGAACACAGAAAGAGGAAAGTGAGAAGCTCCAGCGTGCAGAGATTCCCAGCTCTTAGACACAGCCATCTCCACACCCTGAAGCATTTGCAGATTGCATCCCATTCGGGGACACGGAGACTGACAGAAGAAATGCAGCTTTGTGTCCTCAGCAGTCTTAGGAACTGGAAGACCACGTGCCGCTCAGTGTGTGGACTCCACCCAAAGTCACTTAAGACTTCCCTGCTGGAAGGAGTTGGGGCGGAGATGGTGGGGTCCCCAGCAGCACAGCGCAGCACAGGGGCCACTTTGGAAATCAAGTCACATCCTAAGCACACCTGTTCTGCTTTATTGTCATTGATTTGCAGGAAAGAGAGACAGTCTGACGGTGGAAGAACAGCAGAAGTTTGCCAAGGTGGTTCAGGATTATGGAATTCCGGAACAAAACATAAGACCTGTCATCCTAACAGGTAGAGTCACCACACTGAGTCCGATGATACCAAAACTCACTGGGAATGAAAACATCCTTAGTGTTAGCATCAGTGTGGAATTATTATTCCAAAATTCATGTTTTCATCAAAGTGCTCTTGCAAGTGTTTTTTGATTCATTGAATAATTCCAATCACCATGCTTGTCTCTTCTTCTCCTTCTCAGACACCTGCCCGGAATAAAGACCACACTTGGGTGAGTAGAAACACAGTGCTCAGAGTGCCTGACAGTTTCAACTTCTTGGACTATTTTCCTAAGAATTATGACATATTTCTTAGACAAATAGCCCCTTTGTAAGTTCAAACTTTGGTTAGTGCACGTGCATAAATGTTGCAAACATAGTGCAGATCCACCAAAACTAACAGGGATTTTTTTACAGTGGTGAACATAGGAATGCTGTCTGTAAAATGTGATTATTTCTCCACCCTGATATACCATTAGACCTGATGAGCTCTGGTGTGAATAATGAACTTTGTGGTACAAATATCTTTGTTAGCTGTAGATAGGACTCTGGAAGATTTTTGACACGAGCGTATGTACACTTGCCAGTGGGCTGATGTAATTCTATACCTTGGAAACCCTGACACAGATCAAGCAAAAATTAATGCTTTCCTCAGAAAGTGTTGATCACAGATTCCATGCATGCCCATATATTTATGGATTCCCAGGAGATGATTTTTATATTCCTCCTGTACTTATCAGCAATTAAAACCACGTGTTTTATAAAAAGCTATACAATCTCCCTTTTTGTCAAGAATTCTAAAAATGATTTGACACAAGTCTATAATCTATTCTTCATTAATAGATTTTACTTTTCATTTTGTCTCTCAGAAAGACCATGCTACTAATATCAGTTCGGCAACACTTTAACAATTTTTTTCTTTTCTTTTCTCACAGATGATAATGGAGCAGCAGTATCAGCCATCTCCTCAAAGACAACTGAATCATTAATGAGAGGGACCAATTTCCTTTACTTTCAACTGTAGTTGCTTCTTTCCAGTGAGGTCATGAACCTATGTCATGACTTTCGTTGCATCCTTATCATCTCTTTTCTTGATCTTTCTGTTTCTTTTTGATTAAATAAATTGATTTCATATGTTATCATAAACTTCTTTGAAAAGAATTTTTCATTTTATAAAGCACAACTATTTTAAAAACTGGGTCTGCAGAAGATGTGGTTTTTGTATAAAATGGAGTACTACTCAGCCATAAAGAATGAGTCATTCGTAGGAAAATGGATACATATTGGGGTCATACTCTTTAGTGAAATAAATAATCACACATGTGTAAATACCAAATAGTTTCTCTGGTATGAAAAACTAAAAGAGTAAATAAGATCCAAATGGTATAATTGACAATGTGAAATATGAAGAAAAGGGATAGTGGTGCAGGGCAAGTGGGAAGGCTAAGGGAACGGAAATGAGGGAAAAGAGAAAATACAACGAAATGAAAAAATGGAAACAAAGTTTTGTCAATAGGGAAGGGAGGAGGTGCTGAAGGGAGGGCTGGGGTATAGGGAAAAAATTAGAAGGAAGTCCCGTCATGTACAGGGACAACATCCCAATGATGAATGTAACTGTACTGTATACCTAAAAAGTACCAATAAACTCAATGAAAAAAATAGAAGAAAAAAACTGAGTCTACAGTACACCAAGATGTGATTCTTAGCATTACGGCAGAGTTCTCCAGTCTGGTGTGGTTAGAGAGAAAAACAGGAACTAAGTCATCATGGATTCAGAGTTTTATGATATAGTGGAAATGTCCTATGGTGCATCCCTTGAGAGGTGTGATTGGCTGGTGGAATACTCTACAAAAAGTCGCAGGAGTGATATTTAGGGTACAAGAAAAGGTTCCACCAGTAAAAAATGACAGGCAGAGACTGGGTTCCTAGAATTATTTGAAAAAAAATTTTACGGCAGAAAACATTGAAATAGTTGTAATCTCTCACCTGAAAATATACCTATAAATCATGAAAAGGATCATAAAATAAAATCCTTTCAGAGGATCAGAGTCCCAACTTGAAAAGTTATATAAATTAAAATATTGATTTCTTCTACAATAATAAGATAATAATAAATATGAGAAGTAAAAAAAGCGTAAGAAATCAAATGTACAGCTAGTTCAATGAAAGAACATTGTGATAAGGCTTACAGGAAAGAAAACACGTTAAGCTAGAAAACGAAGTTGTCACTGGCAAAAGAAAACTTTCCTCCTCAGTAATTGCTAAGAAAGTGAGAAATTCTTCTACCTTTAGACCAGCAGTGAAAGAATGAATAAAACAAACCCAGTTATACCTTCCTTAAAAGGATCTCAGTTGATTTCTTAGGATGCACATAGACTAAATGTGAAGGGATTGAAAAGAAATCCCACACAAAGGGAAGACAAAGCAGCAACAGGTAGAGGAAACTGTTATGGTTTGGGTCTGGGTGTCCCCCCTAAGCCTCCCGGGGTCACAGGCTGGATCTAGAGGGGGTGAAGCTGGGGTTGCTTCATGATGCAAAGCTAGCCTCAGGGGCACTGGGATGAGGGATGTGAGTGCTGCCCACCTTGTGGAGTCCGAATGACATCAAAGGGACGGGGAGATGCTGCTCCTGTCTCTGACCGCCCTCGCTGCCTTCGTGTGCCACCTTGCTTCTCCTTTCCAATGCCAGTTCGTGGGCCTTGCCTTGTATTGGCTGATTGTGAACTGAAGTCTCTATGAAATGTAAGCCTAGGACACTCCTTTCCCTTTAACTTTGGGGGTCTGGTATTCTCTCTCAGCTATGAGAGAAAAGTAACTATTAAAGAAATGAATACCAGATAAAAGAGATTTTAAAGTCAAAAATCAGCAAAATGAGAACATGCATTTACCATCAAATGAATAAAGGGTTCATGTGCCAAAATCAGGGTCATTGCTAACTATAATAGTACACAAGATCCTAATGAGATAATTCACATTGTGAAATGGGAAGAAAAGGGCTAAAGGTTTAGAGAAAGTGGGAAGGGTAGGGGAAACGTAATAAGGTGACATAAAAAAATAAGAGAAAATGAAAAATGGAAATAAAGAGTTTGTAAATGTGGAGGGGAGGAGAAGGTTAATAGAGGGCAGGGACAAGGGAAAAAAATGGGAACCAAAACCTGTCATGTAAAGGTACAAGATGTCAATGACGAATGTAACTGTACTGTATACCTAAAATGTACCAGTAAACTCAATAAGAGAAAAAAAAATGAAAGTGTTCATATAACAAAAGGTAATTATATATAGCACACACACACACACACACACATAGGATACATATATTTATTATAAATTTACATGCATAGACACATATACTGTTTATACAATTTATTGCTATAAAGTAAAAATTTATGTATTTATGTATAGTACACAATTTCAATTTTTAAAGCTGTGTGTGTGTGTGTGTGTGTGTGTGTGTGTATATATATATATATTCTCTCTTTTCTGTAATGTCATATGTTCAATATCAGAGTACTAAAATATGTGCACAAATACAGATAAGCTTGAAGAAGGAGATGGACAATGGATTCTGGTACTGCATTAGCTGCGAAGTGAAATATCCTGCCTTCAATATTGAACTGTTCATACACACTCACACACACGCACACACACACACACGAAAACATATGCATTAGATTATCTTAGTACACAGAAAAGATAGATTCATGTTTTACCTGTTTTTTTTTTCTTGTGAATGAGAATCTTTTTGGTCTATGTCTTGTATTCTTGAGTAACTACTTTGAAGATAATGATGGTGTAATGACTATTGCTGCTTTTATCATTTCTTTGTGAAATTTTATGTTTCATAAAAATTTCATTATTATAAAAATTTGGAAATGAGGCCAAATGCAGCATATAGACATCTACAGATAATCCCACACATCAGCTGCAAAATCCAGTTTTCTCATAACAGCATGGAACATCCTATAGGATAGACCATAGGAAATAAAGAGAAAAGAAGTATCAATGAATTTTTAAAAAATATAAAAATTATGAAGCATCTTTTATGAACAAAACAAAATAGAGAACAATATGAAGAAAAACTTTGGAAAGTTTGCAAAGTCATGAAAATTATCTTTTTTTAAGCATCAATAGATCAAGGAAGCAAAGGAAACTGGAGTTTACAATAAATTGTGAAACAAATGAAATGGGTACAAAACATACTGAAACCTGCAGGAAACAGCAAAAGAAGTATTACTAGGCAAATTTCATAAAGAAAAAGAAGTATTACTAGGCAAATTCATAGTGATGAACATGCACATAACAAAGGAACAAAGATCTTGATAACCAACACATAA